CCATGACACAAATCTCGGGAATGTTTAATTTTCATCTTTGTTTAGGAGGATGAAAGTGAGGCAAGAGGAGACATAAATTCACACTTAGTGACACCAAGTCACAGCCAGTACCTCCTCCTCGGAGAGCTATGTGCTCCCACAGTGGTGGCTGGGGGGAAGGGCAGAGCACCTGCACTGGTCACAGAGGGACTCTCTCCTCTGGCTGCAACTGATGGGTTGGACAACAAATCCAGAGGGGACAGAGCATCTTTCCCGGGAATTTGGAACTGACACACAGAAATTAATTTCACTCATCTGGGGATTGGGAGGAGGGTGGGAATCAAATGAAACCAGAGCAGGAGAGAAAGTTACAAGTGAAAGAGAAAGAGACAGAGAGACTGAGCTCGTGAGAGCAAATAGTGGGAAGGACAGAAAACAATCGGGACAGAGGAATTTCAGCTTCTGGCTGTCTAGTGTGTCCCAGCCCATCAAAGAACCTGCGGGATGGTTAACGTCATTCCAGTTTTGTAGATTAGGAAACACATTAATTGTCACTGACCCCTCACTTCCCACTGCCTGAAGGCACCATGATCCTCACAGGGACCCTGCTGTGCTGACAACCCATCACCCTGATCAAAGGGACCCGGTGGGAGTGGGAACCCCTGAGTGTGGAGAGTTCCCTGCACCGAGATGCCATGCATCAGCAGGTTCCCGCTCGCCCCAGGTTAACATCTCCCCAGCGGTGCAGTCTCCCGACCCGCTTCCCTCCCTGCCAGGCACCTCCGTTCTTACCACCGAGTGTACTGCAGGAATTCAGGCACAGGGATGCCCAAAGCAACACGAGCCCACCAGCAGTACAAACAGCAGACTCCCAGCCCCACCTGGGCCCAATGGGGATATTAGGTGTCTTCACCTTTCATGTATCTAAGGCAATTTGTTTCTTCAGCTGGAGGCTATAGAGAAAAATAAAAGTTCCAAAACATCGTTCAGTGAGGAATTCCTCCAAGGACCTGACTCCAGAGTCTACAACCAGTTGTGCTGGCCGCTCCTACCCCCGGACTTTGGGTGAGGTGGATTATTGATCAGCATAATCGCCGGTGGCCCAGCTCCTGGGCTTGGCTGCCCAGAGGGGGCTGGGGAAATGGGTAAGACCAGGGCACTCAGGAAGAGCACAGAGG